TTGAGACAGGGTCTCCCTGTAGCCCCAGCTGACCTGGAACTCGCTATGTAGACCAGGCTGGCCTCGAACTCACAAAGATCCCCCTTCCTCTGCCTCCCAAGTGCTGGGATCAAAGGCGTGCGCCACCATGCCTGGCTAAGATTTTATTTTTTAAAACACTATTACGTGTATGTGCACCTTGTGTATGTGTGGGCACAGGTGTGCGATCAGAGGACACCTTGTATATGTGTGGGCACAGGTGTGCAATCAGGACTCTGTTGGAGTTGCTCTCCCCTTCTGTCATATGGGTCTCACATGAACTCAGGTTGTCAGGCTTTGTGGCAAGTGCTTTTAATCCACTGAGTCATCTTGCCTGCCCTAAACATGAGAGTTTAAAAAAACAAATTAGGAATACCAGCAATTCTCTCTTCCTCTTTTTGAGTCTGAGTCTTATATAGCACAGGCTGGCCTTGAACGCTTGATAGACTTACTTCTAACCCCCAAGTGCTGTGATTATAGGCATGCACCACCATGCCCAGCTCAGACCAGCTATTCTCTTGAGGTCAAGCCACTCTGTTCCTCCAACAGGACCAGGAACAATAAATAATGAATTTGCATCTTACTCAACTGGTGGGGTTTAAATGGTTTGAAATTCTTCTCAGGTGAAATACTACCACAATTTTGTGCTCATGACAGATTTCAAAGGAAGACTCAAAACAGAAAATCTTTAAGGGATCCTTACATAGCTAGAAGCTTTTTTTTTCAGGCTCATGTACATAAAATATTTAGTAACCAGGGTTGCGGAAGCATTTGAGTTAGAGATATTCCCTGGGCCTGGAAAGGCCCTTTCTTAAGATCATCCTTGGGACCTTGTAGCTTTAGACATATATGGTCTGCTACAATCATGATGTTGGGTGACATGCACTGATCAGGTAGGTTTCTAGATTCTGGCGTTGGTAGAGGGATATGCTGTCCAACACCCAGTCCCACATCACCACAGGTGCCTCACACATCTTCTCAATATCTGAAGACAGAACACAAGAAGAGATTAGTGTCAATTCATTCTTCCAGACCAGACTCCAATCAATCCATTCCAAGAACCTGATTATGAGTTCTTAGGGATAATCAGGTCAGAATCAAACTGTTGCTCTGAAACAATGCTGCTGGACATAAGACAAAGCCTAAGGAATGACTGCCAGTAAAAGCCCACCTTCTGGCAACTGAACTAACATGAGCTCCAACCTGTTAAAGGCAAAGCCACCAGAGGGAACAAAATAGGACTGAAATTTAATGATGTGGATTATTATCATTATTAGTCCTTTTGAGACATGGTCTCCCTGTAACCCCAGCTGGCCTGAACTCACTATGTAGACTAGGCTGACCTTGAACTCACAGAGATCTGCCTGCCTCTGCCTCCGGAGTACTGGGATTAAAGGCCATCACGCCTGGCATGGAAAATTATTTTAAGTGAAAAATCAAAACAGGGTAAGCATGATCACACACACACACACACACACACACACACACACACACACACACACACGAAGAATTTTATGATGGTCATCTCCAGGTAGTAGAATTGTTATTATTTTGGTGTTTTATTGTATTTATGATCAACTGCATTTAAACCACCCACAATGGATTCCAAAAGGTTCATGAATTACTTTTATTAACAGGAAACATTAAAGAGGCTTGTGAAAGCCAGGCATAGTGGTGCATACCTTTAATCCCAGAACCTGGGAGCCTGAGGCAGGTGGATCTCTGTGAGTTCCAGGCCAGCCTGGTCTAAATAGTGAGTTCCAGGCCAGCCAGGACTACATAATGAGACCCTGTCTCAAAAAACAAAAACAACAAAAAAGGGGGTGGGGGTGGGAGATGGCTCGGTGGGAAAAGGAAAAGGTACTTGCTGCAGAGGCTATCTGGGCTCAATGCCTGGGACCTATATAGTGGAGAATTGTCTCCCACGTGTTATCCTTTGACCTCCACATGTGTCATGGCACATATATACACACATGCACACACAAAGAAACAAAATGCAACAAAAAAATAAGGTCAGGCACATGCCTTTAATCAGGGGGCAGAGGCAGGAAGATCTCTGTGAGTTCAAGGCCAGCCTGGTCTAGACAGTGAGTTCCAGGCCAGCTGGGGCTACAGGGAGACCCTACCTCTAAAAAAGCCTCCTGGAATTGAGCAAGACCCATAAGGTAGTCTCAGGAACCTTGTCTAACTATGAGCCTTTTTTTGGTCTCAAAAAGACAAAAAGACATTTTAGCTATTCATTTAAGTATTTTAAAATAGGCTGAGCAATAAAAAATAAAAAATTGGGTGTGCCTGGGTATGCCTATAATCCCAGGAATCAGGAGGCAGAGGGAGGAGGCAGGAGGATTACCATGCATTTGAGGCCAGACAGAGTTACCTAGTGAATACCAGGCAAGCCAAGGCTGCACATCAAGACCCATTTTCAAAAAAAAAAAAAACAACACAAAAGGCCAGGTTCCATGATGCACGCTTTTAACTCCAGCACTCAAGCAGAGGCAGGTGAATCTCTGAGTCTGAGGCCAGCCTTGGGCACAGGGTTAAGTTCCAGTCTAGCCAGGGCAACATAGTGAAATCCTGCCTCAAAAAATAAAGGGCTGGAAAGATGGCTCAGCAGTTAAGAGCACTGATTGCTCTTACAAAGGACCCAGGTTTGATTCCCAGCACCCACATGGCAGCTATGAACTGTCCTTAACTCCAGTTCCAGGGGATGCCGAAGCCCTCTTCTGACTTCTGTGGCATTGCATGACACTGGTGCACTCACATACATGCAGACAATATACTCATACACATAAAATAAAAATAATTAAAAAATAAAAGAAAAAGAAAAATGCAAAACATGTTGAGGATTGTGTTATTCAAGTACCAGGTAACTAGTAACAAATCAAACCCACCCAAGAGCACCCCACATAACATAAGAGCATGCAGATACTTTACCAAGGTAGTCATTCCTTTCTGTCCAGGCACTTGGCTGCAGAACCACAACTGGCTGAGTACCCTGCATCCCCAGGAAGGAAAAAGCATTGAAGAGCTTAAAACAGGACTTTTGGAAAAGTTACATCACTATTTCTAGTTTGCTGAAGCAGACAACATTGGCGCCAGCCACAGAAGGAGGAGGAAGGTTACGTGGCAAGAAGGCTAAAAGGAAAAGCTTCCCTCAATGCACAGCCCTTACTCATCCCCCACAGACGGAGTTTTCTGATGTAGCTCATGGTTAGACAAGGTTCCTGAGAGACTACCTTAGGGGTCTAGCTCAATTCCAGGAGAATTATTTTTTATTTTTTTGAGACAGGGTCTCCCTGTAGCCTCAGCTGGCCTGGAACTTGATATGGAGACCAGGCTGCCCTTGATCTCATAAAGATCCAGCTGCCTCTGCCTCCTGAGTGCTAGGATTAAAGGCATATGCCACCAGCCTGGCTTAGAATATTACTTTCCCTGTAAGAAGGTCCCCAAACACTTACTGTGCCAAAGGTGAGTGATGAAAGTTCCTTCACCACAGACGCCCCACACATCTGCAGGATCCTCTCCAGTTGATCTACATAGGACAGTTAGATCTAAAATCACCACAGTGGTCAACATCCGAACCCTGTGCCCTCTACATCCTTCTCTGGAACAAGCCTCAGTGAGCAAGCTTTGTTTCTCTGTTCTAAAGGACAGAAAGGCCTTAAAAATTAGTATGGCTTCTAAGTCAATCTGCCGTTGATATGCTGCTACCTACTTGGTTATGAGTCTCTATAAGGGCCCATGGTAGATGAGGATTCAGAGTCTCTCAAATGGGACATGTTGAAAGAAAAAGAAACCCAAGATCTAATTTCCATTAATTTGCTAAATTGCTAGACACTATGTGAAAAAATATCCATCTTCCTCCACCCTTTTTCTTCTTTGCTCCCTGCATCCTAATTCTGTTGGTAACTGACAATCAAGGCCACTGAGAGCACCATTCTTGGTGGTAATTACTGTAAATGTCAAGAGATGGGAAGATAATTCATCCTGTGGAGAAGAATGCATGTCAGCCTGCTTAGAGACCCAGCATATCAGTAGGAAAGGTCACATGCTGGGCTGGAATCGACATTCTATGGGGAATGAGTATAAGAAGAGACTGTGCCTGGACAATCAGCAGGACGGACCAGTGGGTTGGCACTCCTTCCGATGTGCTCTTTAAGGCACCCACAGATACTCTTCTTTCCCATCAACTCGTTTCTGGGGATTGCTGAGGTGGTCCTGCCTGTCTGACTGAACTGAATTTTACTAACTTAACCCATTCCCCAATGACACCTGGTAGAGTCCCTAGTTTTCAATATACCAAAGTACAAAAACAGGAAGAAATCTTTGAGTGGCACTTGAAATTTAATAAAAATCCCATCAACGACCAGTAAAGAAGGAAACAAAATTATGTTGCCAGCACTCATGCTACCACTCATCTGTCTATGACTGGATGCTAAGACCTTCCTCTCCAAAGGAACAAGACTCTACTCCCTGGGTCAGAAGTGAAGCAGAAGAGGAAAGGGTAGGAGGACTTCATTTTGAAAAGTACCAACCAAATCTATACAGGGACAAGATCCTTAGTGACACACAAGAGTGGGGCCCAATAGCAGCTTTCTGTCATTGTTTTGAGACAGGGTCTCATGTAACCCAGGCTGGCAGAGAACTTTCTACTTACTCAAGGGAGACCCTGGGCCTTTTGCTTGCAAGTGCTGGGATTACAGGCATATGCTACTAAGCCCAGTTCCACAGCGGTCTTGATTGTTGCATCACATTCAATAACAAATATTCAACCAGCCATCCAGTGTCTGGGCCTGTGTGTGGCCCCAGACCCATAGGGCTTATGCAGTTGCTATACATTCTTCTCTGAATTAAATGAAGATGGTTTAGGAAGAGCAGAAGTTTCCTGACACTGACAAACTCCAGGCTGGTTTTTTTTTTTTGAGACAGGGTCTTTACTATGTAGCCCTGGCTAGCCTGGAACTCTCCATGCAGACCAGGCTAACCTCACAGAGATTGACCTGCCTCTGTCTCTCCAGTGCTGGGGTTAAAGGCATGCGCCACCAAGCCTGGCTTCCTGCTAATTTCTTATCCCTGTCCCTTTTAGTCCAAATGAGAGCAATAGCAGAATCTCTAAAGTACAGAATACAGTGTCCTAAATAAATCCTAAATCCTCACTGATCTCATGTCCTTGGGAAACAGTACACAGCTTGCTTTTTGTCATAGGACATTTACATCCATTTGTTTGGAGAGTGGAAGAGAAACAGAACATTCAAACAATCGGAGAGACCTCCCACACTGGGTGACCCTGTTTATACCGTTATGTAAGAAAGGTTAACCCTGCAACTTTGAGGCTCTCCCAGGCTCTTACCTCTGGGCATGCTGCTGAAGGGCTCACAGCAACAGATTTCTAGGCCCCTGAAGATCTGAAAAGAGAAAAGGAAGAGTTATGGGGGATGGAGAGAAACACAGTTTTAACTAAGTATATAGGTTGCCTATTCTATGTGTGTGAGGGAGAGAGGGGGAGAGGGGGAGGGAGAGAGAGGGAGGGAGGGAGCCTCCCTACACCCTAGGCATTGGCAGCCATGGATCTGTTTCCTATCCTTACATTTCTGCTCTTTCCAAAGTAACAAGACACATTCTTTCCAATCCTTAAATAAAATAGCCAAAGGCCCCATATGCCCAGTGCAGAGGACTGCATTCTGCTGCCAGGAGTACATTAGGAGAAGCAAAGGAGCCAGTTCCTAGTGGGTAGGAAAGGGCAGAGAACTCCCTACAGCCTGGAATGGCTCTGCAGGACCCCCTGAATGGAGGGTGCTTTTAGTGAGATGTGACGCTGTGAGTTTCAATTCAAAGAGAAGTCTCAAAAATTGTTCCTAAAAAGACAGTTGAGTGTTTTCTTCAATGACGGTATATTAGACACCATTACATTTCCT